GATTCTAAATATGATTACAGGATATTACAGGATATTGCAGGGATTGGAAACCAAGTCACTGGCCATACCATGCCATGGCCATGCCTTTAAAGGAGGTTAAAGAACGAAGGGTCCAACAATCCGCCCACTCACCATGGTTAAGACTGGTCAAGTTTCACGACATGAGTATATGCAGCACATGGTGGTGTTCAGCATGCTTCAGTCAATGACATTTGGCCGAGCTGTTTCAGAGCCCGAGCGATTTCCAACGTTGGCACCTGCTTACGTGGTAGGCAAAGATGAAATAGCACCACACGGCGTGGGGGCCGCGTTGGCTTCTTGGCGCATTCAGCTCGCACCGGTCCCTGTTCTACGTCGGTTTGCTTCCTTGAGGGGGCCGCAGATTTGAGTTACGCTTTCCAGACATGAGGGCTTCAGGGCCACACGGGAGGACGGCACAATCGTTCCCTATTCTACTCAGATGAGGGTTGGCTGGAGGGATGCGAGTTCAGGGCGACGTTGACACGGGTTGTTTTGTAGGCGCTGGCCATATTGCCCGCTTTGGAATGTGGGAGATTTGAGCGATTCCATATATAAAGTGCCACTAGTTGCTTGTTGTTCTTGAAGGCAGACCAGGTGTAAGACAATACTATATTACTATAGTTCTCCAGGATTGCCCAGGGGTATACAATCCCCTAAGTCTTGTTCATGCTGACCTTTTGGCATCAATGGCAGGGGCACGTGTCGGACAAACACCTCATTCCTTCTTAAGGTCTTGGCCTATTCAAGTTCACAGTGCCTCCAATAGAGCACTTACGACTTCAAGGCACCGTTCCTTTCACTCAAGTGGCCATCAAGCCCTTGACTAGTCTTTGGCTTTGTTCCTAGGCTTTGCTGTTTGGACAAGACGCCTATGACAAGTGGAATCGCCTGTGGGAGAGGCTCACACGCGCCGTTTCACGCGAGGGCAGGCGTGTGCTTTTGCCGGCGAAGTGGCTAGCTGCGGAGAACAAACACACTTTTGTTGGGATCCTTTGGAGTAAGACGACAAGCCGATTACATTGCTTTGTTTCTATTGCTCTTGAGGTCTCATTTGACTCGCGTATTTTTCCTTGAAAGGTGGATTCTTGAGGGGGCCTCCGGATGCAGTTTGTCACAGGACTTCCGAAACTTAACTTACTGCTACTCGAAGTGTGGAACAAGTTGTGGAACAGCCCACACCGAGAGAGTGATCAATTCATTTCCGTATGCCACATGATTCTAATGTTGTTTTTGGAGGTACAAGGGTGTTCGTTCATTGTCGGCTGCCACCCCGTACTTAAGATACGTTCGATGGCTGCCAGGGGAGGACCGTGGCCCTGGTGGATTTGGCCTCGAATCGTGAACCAGGTAATCGGATTAAAGCAGACTCCATCAAGAAAGGGGTTCTTTCTAATTACAAGGCAGGGAGGGGGCTCGATAAGTTTTACATATCTATCATCTATCTATATATATATAGTTCAATAATTTTAACTGTATATCTAACTGAATGTGCATGTTGCAAGTGCCAGCACACAGCAGATGCCAGCCAGAACCCAAGAATTATCGCATGAGATTCTTTTGTCACCCCAAACACCCCGTGACCCCGCTCAGGACCGGGTCAAATCCAATTCAAACAGTATGATTCTTGGGCAACCTCTCAACAACATCCAGCACTTGACAAAAGGGCTCCTTGTTTGAGCCAGGTTCTCCTAATTGAAGCAATATATCCTATTGAAACGAAACAAACGGCTTTCTTCAAAGGGCGAAGCCATGGCGTTCCTGCAAGCCATGCCTGGAGAGCTCTTAGCAATCCCCGAAGCCGCTTGGTGAAGCAAGACGAGCCGCTGTTGTTTTGTGCTGATCATAGGGGATCAGATGGATCAGATTGGATCCGTACCTAGTGGTTTTCCACCATGTTGCACCCGAGGAGAATGCCAGACATGTTTTGCTTCCATCAGTGTGTCCATTTGCTTCCACCATATGTGAATTTGACGGTGCGCATGATGCCAAGGTAGGATCTACTCAGGTTTGCACATGTTTGCACCTACCCGGCTGCCCATGACACAACCTGCTGGCAAATGGGAACACGTGCACAAGAATTTGTGGTTGTGGTTGAGCCATGTTGAGCACATTAATCATTAATCCGACTGGATGAAGGACTTGTGGATCCCCCTATACCTTGCAGATCCAAGGATGCGATTTGCCCCATCTCACAGCAAGTTATGGAGGAGCGGCGCTCATGGAACATTGCAGCGAACTCTGCGATCTTCAGAATGCAGAAATATTACCCGGATCAGATCCTTTAAACAAGAGAGCGGGATGCTATGCGGGTGTGTTTGAACGCCTTCAGCATGCAAAGTCCAAACAACAAGGGGGTTCAAGAACACTGGAAAATACTCACCCGTATAACGTCCTGTTTTGTTAAACAAATCAGGGTCATTGAGCTGAGGTTTGGTTTGTGTTCCTGGCCGGTTTACGGACACGGTGTTTTCTCTGACTTGGGTGTGCCCTTTACTTTTTCAACTCTGCCTTGCTTAAAGCGAGCAACCCTGGGCAGCGCAGGACCCCGTGGTTTGCGCCGATGGCCATTCCTATGAGCGGGCCTTCATCCAGAAATGGTTGGCGTGCCTCGGCCGGAGATGCACGGCTCACCTACTGGATCATCGGCGATCGATCATCGATCCATGCAACCTGAACAAGTGAGCCGATGATGTTTGGGTGGGAAAGCGGATGTTCAACATTCCGGATAGCAAGGCAGACCAATGGCAGGTACGCCGGCAGGTTTGGCAAGTCAGGTAGAGTGCAGGCATTCAAGCATGCTTCTCAACAGGGGACTGGTGCTGGTTACCTAGTCCGTCCATCGCTTGTAGGTTGGAGGCCATCGCTATTAGGTTCCCTTGAAACCTAATTCACTATTCTCTTGCATGACTACATAAACTCTTACTGTATCCTTAATTAAAATTTCCACTATGAAATGATAGGCCTTGAGGCCTATATGAAATGACCATTTTACACTAGATGGTCTTGGCACAGAACATTTTGTAATAGTCACAGACCTTCCGGAAAGGGACGTCAGGGCCTTACATTTCATAGTCGCAAACAATTTTGTTTTAAAGAAAAAGGTACCGTTGGACACAGCATTGTATAGTAAATACATTGCAGCCACTGCATTTTGTAGTCTTGGAAGGGGGGAGGCCAGACAAGTGACATTACATTTTGTAGTTGTGATAGAGATTTGATGCTGTGATCTTCATTGATTTTCTACAATGCCGGCTGGCCGCCATAGCTTATTTGGGCAAAAAGGGCTATATACCTGATCAGGACCTGATTGTGTAGACATGCCGGGAGCACCGACTGGATTTCCAGAAATATGCGGGGTCGGATGCCACATAGAATACCTATGTGCGTATTCCGATAAGAATCCCGATTGTCGGTTGCTAGGGGGTTTGCCCCGACACTCGGGTTCTGCCAACAAGACTGGACTTGATGACTCAAACGCAGGTCACGGAAAACATTTCATAGTGCACTTTTGCTTTTGAGCGCCTTGGGCCTTGGATACACGTAGGTCATGGCCCTCGATTTTGTAGTAAGCGTGTGTTTGGCCTGTTCATGGGCCCAGCATTTTGTAGTGAGAATTCAGGCAAGCATTTCATATTGTAGTACCTCGCACCCATGCACCACTACAGAATACCATTCTTGACGTCACCCCCTAAATTTTAAGGGGGATCTTACTGTATTTTTTGAAACTGCAGTTTCTTCCAGCATTTGATGCAATTGCTCCGACGTAAGGCTGGGGAAACGCTCAAGCCCGAAGACCAACATGAGCCTGCCGCATACCACCCTCATCCCGAACCTGAGTCTCGCCAAAGGAAGATGACACGCTGCAAACTTGGCTGCAAACTTTAGAGACGGATGATTGACATGATCAGTTTCATAGTTCGTCGCTATTCACCATGGAATGGTTTGGAAAGGACTTGTCGGGTTTCGTTACGTGACGCAAACTCGGTGAAGAGGCCGCTTAGGCTCGGACGGCGTCATAAAGATCCCACCAACCTCCAGCGTTCTGATACCATTGGGCTCCAGGTCGAACAGAGCGCGACGAGGTCCCACCGGCATTGACCATGCGAGATAGAGATGATTGAAAGACTGATGCTATAGACCAGTCTATAGACCCTGCATGCAGTGACTGTTGCCATTGCGTAGCGATTGATCATTGACCCGTTCCATGCGTGCTTTAATGTGTTACAACTAGGACGTTCGCGCTTTGGGTGTCTTAGGCGTTTCATCGCCCATGAAGGTTGCAATGTATTTTGTGGGGCCCTTGATGCATAGGGGATGTACTGGCGTGACTCCGATTCAGAAGGTTATACCGTTATACCTAGAGCGTTTTTCATGGATTTTTCATGGTGCCCCTAGCAATGTCCGATCACGATAGTAGCTCTGAAGGGCGACACGCGCGACGATTTCGTGTTTGCCCTGTTTGTGAGGAACCTTCGGAGCATTATCGAGTCCATTAAAATCCGCATGCCTGCCATCCAATCTGAGCAGATCAAAAGCATAAAGGACATCGTAACAGATGCTTCCAGCAGCTGCCAATCATGCGGTTGTTCATGCGGTATTTAACATGGTTTGGTTGGCCAAGGTTTCTTGAATTATTGTGATTCTCTGGTGATTTGATTTCAGAATGATTCGGAAGAGTGTCATGAATCAAGAGTGCATCGAAACTAAGTAAACAGGGGAGGTGGTGAGGTGAAAGTCCTGTTTTGTGTGCACTGTGTCGGTGTGCGGCAGTTTCAGTCCTCTTTAGAGCCAAAAAAATTGTGTCGGGTGCATGTTGGGTGGCATTGGGAGAAGCGGGGACAACGGGTTGCAACACCTCACCACTGGGTGACTTCCAAGAAACTTTGAGCGTGGTGGCTATGGCAAGTTGACACACTTGACTACTTATGCCTCATCCGAGCTGCCAAAAGGACCCCATCCAAATCGCTGTTTGCTAGGAGATGCAAGATTTGGAGGCCATCGTGCGCTCGCTCATGGAGGATCAAGGATCGCAACCATTTGAATTTGCCCGGACTGTCCCCGTCCGCCGTCCGTGCCTTGATTCTGCTTCGAGGGTCAGCGATGTTGAACAGTTGGGTGATGTGTGGATTCTTGTCACCTCAGACTTGAGCGCCTGTCTCTCTCTGGTATATAGTAAATTACTGTAAGTATATATTATATATAAGTATATATAGTTATATATACACATATTTTGGAACTCTGTGAGGCTAGAATCCAGCAGTAGCTACTGCACACCCCTCATTCCAGAGCCGGCTCCTCGTCCGTTCAAAAACCCCAACCCCCACCCGGTGCACATGTCTCTCGTCGCAGGGAAGTTGGCGGTATGCTTACTTGTTACTGGTAGCTTCTTGTTACTAGTAGTAATGGCCTCCAAGCTACTACCTTTGTTCCTGGTAGCTTCTTGTCACTAGTAATGCCAGGAGCCACTAGTAGCGTACTTGCTACTAGTAGCAGTGCCCTTTGTTACTAGTAGCGTCCTCTGTCGCAGGGAAGTTGGCGGTGACCTGCATCGACTCCCAACGCCCAGCGCCGCTGGACCCCGCGCCCGGCGCCACGCCCGTGGCCGCGCCCTACGAGGCGCCGCCGGCGCCGGCGCCGCCGGGGCCACAGGTCACGGTGTCAGAGCCGGTGCCAGTGGTGGCTGGGATCGCAGATAGTTACGTTTGGGAAAAGGAAGGGGAGACAGGCGGGGATGAGGAATTCGAAGAGGTCCTTGAAGTTTTGGCAGTCCAGTCCCAAGCTGCCCCAGGTCTTAGAGCTCTTGAAACACGACTCGAAGGAGGTGTGTGAACGCGCCTTGGGCCTCGTGGACGCGCTGGTGAGTAGCAACCCACTCCACCGCGACGCGGTGTGGCACCATGGTGGCATCCCTTTGGTGGTCCAACTGCTGAAGAGCCACTCGGCGATGCTTTTGGGCGTGAGGTGAGGCATCAAAGAACGCATCCAATTGCCATACTAAGCAGAGGCCCATGGTCCAGTCAGGGTCCAGACAGCTTGTTTGTTTGTGTCTCTTTCTTTTCCTCATCGCCCTGTGCAGAAGGAACGCTTTTCCTGGAACTTCGCGCCAGCCACAACGAAGGTCACACTAGAGTCACTAGAAGGTGCCTCTCACCTTTAGGCTTGCATTTTTGGCAGACTAAAATGGACCACCAAAACCATAGGCTTGTTGGCTGGCACCGCATAATGGGTCCGCTGCGGTGCATGGATGGCAGACACGAACAGGTGGCCCAGCAGAGCAGCTCCAGCGCGCTTGCTCGTTGCTGAAAACCTTGGCCAGTAGCCAGAAAGAGGCACAGATGGCTGTGGCTTGGGCTGGTGCCTTGGTGACATGGCTTACGGAATGAGATCTATTGGCGTGCAGTATGGAGAGCATAGGAATATGCAGAAAAGGCATGCGAGAAGATTCAATTCATGAGAATGGCGAAACCGCATCGAATTGGGATAGTCAGCCTAGCCAAGTCTTCGGGGGCACGGGGCGTAAGCTGGGAGGGGTGAACATTGAAATCAGACGGGGACGTTGTGTAAAAGAGTTTATTCGATTGTGAAGCTGTTGATGTATGGATTGATGATCTGCAGAAAAATCCACTTGTGGTGAGGTGTTGACTTTCAAGAATTTTGTGCGGCCAATGTGGTAGAGGGGAAATACAGGAGTTCTGACAAAACCAACATAAACCAACTGAACACAGATTTGCAACAATATTCTCAAGGCTTGTGCAACTGAATTGTGTTGAATGCGAAGGAAGTTTTGTGGACATGCGAATCACGTGGTATTTGTACAGCAGCTGGCAATTGTCAAACCACAATTTTGACGTCCTTTTCTCGGACAAATGGGAGTGGTGTAAATGCAAGTGATTTGACTCCAGTCAGCAAAGGTGCTATTCCCTTCTTGGTGAACTACCTGAATCATGACCTGGGTGCTTTGAGGGTTGAGGCTGCAAAAGCTCTGTGGAGCTTGGCGCAGAACAATGTCGAGCCTTGAACATCGTGGTGAAATGACTGGCCGGACACGACGCTTCAGGCAACCTGTCGGACCTACACTTGCAACATAGCAGTCGGGAAAAAAAACATGTTCTAAACCCGCTTGAACACCCACTTGTGTGGTTATGTTAGTTCTGTGAGGAGTTTCTGTGGAAAAAAAAAACCTGCAGGCTCTTTTGGTTCCGCTGCATGTCTTGCCCAACACCTGCCTGGGCATCAGCAGAGTCCATAGGGGGCATTGTTCACGATCCAACACGGATTTCGGAGCCCCCAGCGGTGCGAGAAGGTCCAGTGCCTATACCTTGTTTTGAGGTCCACTGATACTGATCATGCTTTGCAATCACAGGGAATCACAGCAACCACGGAATCGCAGCGGTGGTGAGAAAATCAGGTGCCGAACTGCGTGGGTCGGAAGTTCGGAAGCGATGCCTTTTCCCATTTTGAGGATATGTCCTGCTTGCAACCAGTCAACTCCCTGTTTGGAGCGACGCGAGCTATAGCCTAGCAGGTGGTTTGACGCACTTCATCCCGTATGTCATTCTATGTGTATATAGATGTAGTTATTATAGATGTATATATACATATATATATATTATAGTATTTGTAATAATTGTTATATACATATAGATGCCATGACCATGACCATCCAATTCGCTGTCGACCAGATTGCGTGTTCGGATTGGGGCGTCCTTTTCGGCTCCAATGGAAGATGTTCATCAAGTAAGGGTAATCGGTTCCCTCGATGACCAGAACTGAGGACAACCAGACGTCGATTCTTCAGCACCATGGGCTGCAGCGCCTGGTTCCGTTGCTGCATGGTGGAGCCAAGGATGCTCAAGAGCCAACGCTGCTTTTGCTGCTGGCATTGGCGCAGGGGCATGAGCAACAGGACGGCGTTTGGGGACAGCTGACCTTTGTGGTGTGTTTGGTGTTTTGGGCATGAAACAACTTCTCCACATAGATACTCTATGCAGATCTCTACAGTTTGGGTGAAACAATGGCATGATGGGAACTTGCTCACAGTTTGACCTACTTCAGGGCGCCTCTGCTGCAGTTTAGGACGGTGTCAAAGCTACCGGCAATTGTCAAGGGAGATTGCATGGCATAGCTTGCTCAACCAACTTTCCATGCTTCGGAGCAGCCATGGCGAGCCTTCCACACAATCCTGCCACCTAGCTTCCCTTTCACATGCAATGTTAGTCGAACGTTTGCACATGTTGGACGCCATGTTCCTGGCACACAACCCACGTACTGGTCGTCATGGCTCCACAGACCCCAGCGTTCCCATTGGGCAGCCTGCAGCTAGGACAACATCACCCGTGCAGGCACGGTGTTGAAGCTGCTGTGACAGGTTGTCGTCAAATTTAGACGTTGACCCTGCCACGGGATTTTGGCCAGAACGCGCCACGATTTGGGCTACAAGGCTCCGTGATCCGGTTTGTTGAATGGGCACGGAGCCAGTCTGCAAACTGCTAAATTAAACCTAAAGAGGAGCACTTTCAGAAGTGCCAATTGAACGCTTTGCGACTCCCTGCGACTGCCTTGTCCAAGAACCCACCGCCTGGCTCGCTCGACTGGAATCACCTAACGAGGCGCCCTGGTGCCTTTGATTGATCTCCTGGGCGACGAGTCTCGTTTGGAGTTGGCGGCTGCCGTGTTGGCACAGCTGGCGAACCATCACGCGGACAACCAGTCAGTGCCTCCGACGGGTGGGGTGGAGCAGGTGAGCGCCCGATCGCTCCGTTCGTAGCAATGCCCTTGGTGACGTTCGTAGCAAGAATGCTCCGTTCCTAGCGATGCCAGGAGCCCCTAGTATAGACATGGTAATTAGGACTCCAAGGATGGTGGACTGTGTATGATTGCGCCGAACGGTTAGCAAGAGATTTGGCAACGGTTAGCACCTGATCATTGAGAACGGATAGCCGGAGCACAGTGGGGACGGGGGTCAATCCGATTGCTTTTTGATCAACCCATTAGCCATGATGTGCTTAGAATTCTTGAATGAGACCTCAGGAACGACCCCTCAACCCACCCTCCGCACAAATCGCACACAACTGCACTCTCAGGATCAAATTGTTTCTTGTTTGTGGGCAACCTCGGAAACCGTTGGCCAGGAGTGCCAAAGCCCACACCCACCCTCAACCAAGCAACCATGGAACGCGGTCGGCCCCTTTACGTTTGGCAGTCCAACCTTCTCGAACATTGCACGCGTAAGTCGTTGTGGTTACGGCGAAATGCACGCAGAACGATCTCAAGACATCTCAAGACTAAGACTACATGAGTGACTACATTGCACCAAAAGCACTATACCGACTATACGGCACCCATCTAGAAGCAAGCGCACTCGGGTGGGCGTCGATCCAAATCAATCGGTTGTTTTTATTGGAAGTTTTTTGGACAATGATGTGCCAGACTATTCCGAATGATCCCTTTGGAACAAGACGCATTTGTGCTTTTCTTCTGGCCAAGCAGGCATGCATGTTTTACAGACATCCAGAGTCCAGAGCTATCAAGTTCGTAGGGCACACGCCCAGTTCGAGCCTTTAGAGGTTATGGATGGTTATGGATCATCTCACCTCCGATGACTATGCCCATAGTTTGCCGAGCTTTACAGCTCCCTGTGGGCCCTGCTAAGGCCATTGGAGCTGCCACGGGTGCTGTGCCCAAGTTGAGCCTTGGCCGTCACTGGTGATAGTTGCCTGAGTCATGGTGGGCTGTTCTTGATTTTCCTCCAGGACTTGCAGGGATATTGCGGGTTGATTGCGAAGGTGAGGTATATAGTTTTTGTATCCCTACCCTCTTACGTCCACTTTTGGGGGGGGACCTAAAGAAATGTAACTTACAATTTCCGGGGGGGGCCATAAATGTATGTTGACCCCCCCCCCTCGTTTTTGGTCCTACTTAATTAAGTAGAGGCCATATTCATGGTCCTCTCCCCCCCCCAGATTTTGGCTGTGTCTGGCTATGTCCTTGCGGGAAATGAGGTGCTGGCTGGTGTGTGTCAGTTAGAAATTTTAGGGGGGGGGGGGCTGGGGAAAATGTAACTTACCACGTCCCACGTCCTAAGTTACATTTTCTCCCCCCCCCTAAAATCAATGAGGTAAGAAGAAGCAAAAAGATGAAAGAAGCAGTAAGTAACCATGCTAAAAGAATGAGGTTTGCTTGGCTGAATCAGGGGCTCAATGGCACAAGATGCCAACCGGCGCGGAGCAGTGAATGTGGGAGATGATGAAAGAAGTCAAACAAAAAGCAAAACAATAGACTATAGTAGACTTTTGATATATACCAAGTATTACAAAATATTACCAAGTATCAAATATATCAGTATATTTGGGTGACTAGTGTCCGGCAAACCGCCGGGCCTCCCGGCAAGCAATGTGGCAAGTGGAAGCTCGCGATGCACTCACCAGCATCCGGGTCGATTACTACTGGAAGCATGGTGTTGACATCTTCAAATCCTATTCGACAGCCAAAAGCATCTCGCTTAAACAGTCACTGTCACTGTGTTCTAACATGTTCCGAACCACTGTTTTGCGATTGTTTGGGGGGGCTTGTAACTAAGCCTGCAACCAAGGCCACGCCGAGAAACACAAGCTGCGCATACCTCCAACCAGGAACGAAGCCAAGAAACTGATTGGGGATCAAAGGTCAGTCTGGATTTCAGTTCCTGGAGAGGAGGTCAGGGCCTTGAGCATTCATTGGTGTGTGAATGTATGCATTTCATTACCCGCTATTTGTTTGACCCAGATCAACACACTCACCAAGGAATCAGCAGCCGTTCTGATACAGGAGGGGCCAGTTTCAGGATTGCTCAATATTGCTCATGTTTTTTATTTGTTATAAAATATATGATAATATATGTGTAGAGGATTGTAGAGGTATGTAGAGGTCTTCGATCGTTGGCCTTCTGTGCAGGACGCGGAGCATGTCGCGACGGAAGTCAAGGAATCAGAGCCCGTTCCGCTGGAGGAACCAGAGCTTTGCTCTGTTACTATTGTTCATGTTCTCTCTACTGTTCTCTCTATGTGTGTAGAGGTCTTGGATCGTTGGCCTTCTGTGCAGGACGCGGAGC